CTCAGCCATCACATCGCTGCACCAGAAGAGGGAAAGGCTGACCTCCCCACATCTCTTTCTCAGCGTCTGATCACATGACAGCTCCACCAGCTGATGCTCTCCTGCAGCCACATGTCGTTGTCAAACAGTTCTGCATCCAGGGAGTTAGTCTCAGAGAGGAATGTGGCCATTTCTGATTTAGCTTGGTCAAAGCGTGACAACACCTCGACAGCCAGCGGACTTCTGAGTGCGCGCAGACGGGCTGGAAGTGGCGGGACGCAAAGGCAGCTTTTGGCTTCTCAGACCAGTTTAGGTGTTTACGTTAGCGTTGACAGAACCGTTTCCACGGCAGCAGGGGGACGGAGCTTATTATTCAGACAGGGGTGAGCTGGTGACCCACATACTGGTCGCTATAGCTCACCTGGCTGAGCTGGCGACCCGTGCACTGGGGCTACAGCTCACCTGGCTGAGCGGGCGACCCAGGTAGTTCCCTGGCCTGGTGGTCGTGGGTTCGATTCCCACTCAGGACAGTTTGCTGTAAGGTCTCTCCCTGTTCATCTCCCCCTTCCCTGTCTCACTCTCTCACTGTCCTGACTAATAAAGGCAAAAACGCCAGAAAAAACAAGATTAAAAATGTTCTGTTTTAAGAAAATTCATCTCATTTTAAGCTTTTTTTTCTAACTGGAAACCTTAATTAAGGTGTAAATTCTTAATTTAAGTAAACAGTCTTAAAGTCAGCTTCATCAAGAAATCAGAACACTTCTTTTAAGAAGATATTTCTTACATAACAGAGTTTCTTTGCTTGCAATAGGCAAACATTTCTTACATTTTAGCCTATTTTTTCTAGTTTTAAGACACATGATGGTCTTAAAGTGGCTGATATATATAGGCTAGTTTTAAAAATTCTAGCCAAGCACATTTTGCTTACCCCATTGGCAGATTTTTTTTTGCTTAAAACAAGAAAATTTGACCAGATTTAAGAATATTTGGCTTATTTCAAGTAGGACTGTTTTTGCAGTGTGGATCATGTGATATCATGGTGAGCTAAACCTGTGGGATCTGAACTACTGGGTGGACAAAACAAGGCATTTAAAAACGTCCCCATGAACCTTAAATTGTACAGAATGCACCCTTTTTAAAATATCCGTGGAAACCTTGACCCTAATTTGCTCCAGACGGAGCATCTTTTGCTCACAGCGACCCGTGACCTCTCTGAACAAACATGTGATCACGCCAGCGTCTGTGGAAAAGTATCTGCATTTATTCCCAGACCTCCACTCGGACCAAGAAAAGACTTAAACCACAAATATCTCCAAATAAAACTGATTTGTCACGTCCCCAAAAGCTGTCCAGTTGCTGAACAAAGCCAGAACCTCACTACAACTGCAGGTCTGGTCATGTGTTGACATCCGGGCCAGATGGAGGGAGTTAGGCGCTGAGGTGGAGGACACATGTTGGGAGGTAGAAATACACGACCTGCACACTGAAGCTACAGACAACAATCCGTCCAACTGTGTGGTGCACAGACGTCTATGCGTCTGACTTCTGTTTAAGTAAAAGAAACTGGTTACACACTTGAATTCCTAATCATTTAATCACTTGTAAATCATTTTAGCACTAAAAATTCTTTCCTGCAGGAAAAAAATCCAGACTGGGAACACAAACGCACCAGTTTGACTAGAAGGGATGTGCAGAAGCTCCGCCTCTGGACTTTCTGCTGGATTTTACTACAAACACCCAGTTTTAGCTCCTGCATCCTCAAACACCTGGCAGAACAATCTACAACTTAGCTCCTGTATTCGTTGGTCAGTTCAGGTTTTAATTTCATCTCAGGTCATTACCAGCTGCTCTCGTTTAAGTTGATTCATTTCTTTTTTAAATTTAAATGAAATAAATGAATGTTTTCACTATTTTATTAACTCAGCCTTTGAACATTTAATTGCTGAGTTTCTCTGTGCTGACATCCTTTATGAAGCCTTCATACCTCAGTGTACTCTGAGTTTGAATAAAGGCTGAAGTAATGAAGGACTTCCCCTGAATTCAGAAGGTCAGATTTAAAACATCAGCTCACCTGCGTTTGATCTGTTGTTAGATATTTGATCTCCTGCCAGTTTACAGAGGTCATCAGAAACTTTTGACTTTAAATCCTTATTAAAAGTGACATTTCCTGAGCAGCAGAGTGGGAGGATGCTGCTGGTGGGAGTGACCGGCAGCACATGGAACAGGAATCACAACAGTGCAATACTGGAGCTAACAATGTGTTCGTTTACTCCTGCTGAGTGCTTGTTTTCAGCGTGGAGCATCTTATTTCCACTCATGTCTGCTTTTGTGACAACAGCCTGCTGGAAATGTTGAAAGATTTGTTCATGCCTGTCACTACATTATCAGTTTGTAAAGTTTTCCAGCTGCTGAGGAGACTGATGTGATGACTGGGATCCAACAGCTGAAGCTAAGTGAAGCAGGAGGTGCTGCAGCTTCAGGGTGTGCATCTGCATGTTAGCACTGCAGATGGAGGACGATCCCTCAGATCTACAGCAAAAGTTCAATTCAAGTTATTTATCAGTGTTTCAAGTGTCTGTTCTTTATAAAGTCAAATGAGTGTGAATGAAAAGGGGGGCAGGATCACTGGTCTGCAGGTGAAGGGTTAAAGTATGAAGCACTGGTCTGGAACACGACCTGAAGACCATCCTGTCTCTGCTTTCAAACCATCACATCTACTCTGTCTGCATCTCATCCAGTAAACTCAGAAACAAGCTGCTGGGGAGGCGGCTGAGCGCTGCAGACACCAACCAGAACCAGAGCTGATCCATGAGCCCACAGACAGGAAGTCTGTCTGTGTGGCTTCTCAGGCATCTGAGGAGCTTCAGTAGAAAGCAACTGGACTTCACCCTCAGGTTCTGGAATCATTCAGAATCTTTCTACTGAAGCTGAAGGGCAGAACATTCAACAGTTTGGATTTAATTAAAAGCCAAAGAAGGAAGAGGAGGCTCGGTGACCAAAAGAAAAACACTTAGAATCGTCTAGAACTGTCACTTAGTCGTTCTGGAGAGTTTAACTATTTCCCACTTCAGCAGGAGACTAAAAGCTGCCTTCCTGTTATCTAGAAAGCGGCCCGTGTGATGCTCAACATGCAGGTCTTTGTTGGTTTGCAGGTGAGTCTCCACCCCTTCCCTCAACTGTGCTGGTTCCGTTTTACCTGGTGAAGAAATCAGCGATGCCGAACCTCTTTGGCATCAGCTTGGGGTCCGAGCTGTCCGTCTGCTCGCTCAGGTCCGGCAGCTTGTCCGGGGCGCTCTGCCGGCGACCCGCCTCCAGAACCGTCCGGAAGTCCTCCTCGTAGCCCTCGTCTCCGAAGTAGAAGCCCCCATCGTCGTCGGGGGACAGCGGGGTGGCATCACAGCTCAGGGACACCGCGAGGTTGGGGTTAGTCCTCAGACTCTGCGGCCTGACGGGGAAGCCGAGGCCCCGGAAGTCCTCCTCGTCCTCCCGGGGGTTGGCTTCGGACAGCGGGCTGTCGCTGTCCGGCTCAGAGGGGCCGGGCGAGGCCGCTTTGGCACTTGATCCCGGGGTGGGGGGGTCCTTGGAGGGGTCGGGTAGGTGACGGAGCTCGGCTGCAGCTGGCGCATCCTCCCCCGGGCACTGAGAGACCAGCTGCCCGCTCTGACGGCACCCAGACCCGGCCCCCCTGTCTCGCCTGCTCCCCGGATGAATGTCGGTGTTGTTTTCGGAGTCTGGAGAGTCACATGTTGCGGAGTTCACGATGTGCAAACCACCGTTGGCTACTTTCACTTCCTCCCCGTCCACGTCGCACAGACCGAGCCTCGGACCCGGCAGCTGCCCGGGAAACAGCCCCGTCTGTTTGCTGTAAGCGGCGTCCCCGTCCGGAGCGCCGTGCCCCGGGCTGTCTGCACCCCCGTTGGGCATGTTTCCATCCGGGCAGAGAGCCGCCTCCTCTGTGCAAGCGCAGTTCCGCTGGTGCTTCCCCGAGCATGGCAGCCGATCCAGGGGGAGAGGAGTCCTGTTGCAGGCGCCTTCCGTCGCCTCTTTTCCGGAATCCTGGGTTCCCCCTCCGGTCTCCCCCGCAGGGTGCTGCCGCATCTGTGGGTCCGTCTCCGCTGAAACTCGACCCCCGCGCCCAGCTGGGCAGGAAGCGTCTGGAAGGCTGAGCCCTCCTCCTCCTCCTCCTCCGGCCGCCGGCGGCTCCTCCTGACCGAGTGACTCAGTAAATCCGTTCAGGCCGCCGTGGTCGCCACAAACCCCCGAAACCATGCAGCTGTCAATCAGGCGGCCGGGGAGGAAGCTCTCCGCCGCCACCAGGTCCAACATGATGTCCCTGCCGTGCGTGGGCGGCTGTCCGGAGGCGTCTCTGTTTACATTCCTCCCGTTACCGGTCACATAAATATGACCCCTGCCGGCCTCCTGACCCCCGCTGACACCGGCGAGCAGCGCCAGGCTGCGGTCTTTAAGTGCTCCACCTCCTCCTGCTTCTTCTTCGTTCTCGTTCAAGTCGACGGCAGACGACCCTCCGTTCTCCTCCGTCGTCTCCATGACCGCTCAGTCCGCCGAGCGAGCCTCGGCCCCGGGCGTGAATTCCTGCAGCGAGTCCTCCTGCCCCGTCGGCCGAGCTCCGCAGCAGCAGGTTCTGTTGTTCTGGGAGGAAGGGGCTACCATTTTAGCCAGCGACACCACAGCGTTACCTGCCTCGCACCGGGAGTAACGCGCTCATTTCTGCCGTCTAAGATGAAAATACGTTCCCGGTGGGGCGGAGTTCAACGTCGCCGCCGGCGGAAGATGAATTAAATCCCTCAACGTTTAGCTGCGGGCAGCAGCGGCGGCGGCGGCATTCCGGCCACAGTCCAGCGCCATCTTGAAAATACCCCAACAATGACGTCATTCCCCCCGCTGACTCGCTGCTGTGTTTTGAATCGCTGAAGAGATTACAGCGACCCCTGCGGTCACTGCGTGTAACTGCAACGGGGAGCCGTAAACACAGCGACCCCTGCCGGTCACTGCGTGTAACTCAGAATCAGAATAAAGTAAAAGCCGCTGTCATCATTTTTAATCTTTTTGCCATTTTCTTTTTTTTTTTTGTCATCTTGTCACCATTTAGAGCCTTCCCCCCATACTTTAAGTCCACTTGTATGGAGCCCGTCTGGTGACCGATAAGAAATAAAAATAACTCGTTCCCACGCATTAGTAAATCGTGGCCACCAGTTATTAATGCGCGGGAACGACGTAGTTAAATCGTGGCCTCGCATTAATAATATGAAGAAACAAGATAAGTTGTGGAGCAAATCACACAGTGCGGTCATACCAGCTGTGGATTCAGGATAACGGGCGGACTTGCATGGAGCATTTTGATTTGATTTCATTTTATTTTATTATTTTTATTTATTTATTTATTTTACTTTTATGGTCATTTTGAGTTTTTTCATTATCATTTTGAATTTTTTTTGTCATCACATGTGATCTTTTCGTTGTCACTGAATGTTTTTTTTGTCTTTTTGTCATCATTTAGAGCCTCTATGTGTGTTTTATTAGTCTTATGATCATTCTAAGTCTTGACAAGGACGGATATAAGTTAATTTATGAAAGTATAACTTATTTTTAAGGTTTATTACAGATGACATTCAAAAGAAGCAAAAATGTGTTGTACACTTTGTTGTATGCTTCTGTGATTCATAGTCAGTTTGAAATGTGCCACCTTTGGTTTTGATCTTCATATCCTTTGTGCAGAAAGCTGCTCGGTTACCTGCTATGTTGAGCCTGTTTTTATACAACGCTCTGATTATTCCTGTGAGGCCTGGATACAGAAATTAACTTTACTCATGTAACACAGAAAGGTCAGCTCTGTCATCTATGAACATGGAGCATGTGCCAAAAAAGAAGAGATCTGAGAACACCAGCTAACAGCCGGTACGGCTGGATGTCGATGGCGGTCAGTTCTGGTGTCCTGCCTCCACTCCTGGGTTCTTGCTAATGTCCTGCCTTCTATGCGTTGCTTAATCAGTGAGACATTTTTTGACTTAAAACTAAATTGTAGAACTTCTTTGTTGAACAAAGCCACTGTTTTTCTTAATTTATTTTGCACAGCCTTTGAATTTGTTGCATTTTACTTGTATAGGGCCTTGCTGTTGTTGTTGCCATCATAGTCAGACGTTTTGTTGTCACTGAGTCTGTTTCAGTGGCGTTTAAACAGATGCTGTAGTTCTGCTGAAAAGCCACACTGGAAGTCAGGGGAGCCTTCTGAAGCTTCCTGCCACAACAGAACCACACGGACACACCTGTACTCAGCGTTACAGCGTGCCGTTTCAGACATGTGCCTGATCCCAGATCAGTGATCCTCCCATGTATGAGTACGGAGCACTGCATCATTAAAACACTTGTACTTATAGCATGAAATTTAGCGCTTGTTCAGCTCGTCAGGACTTTAAAAAATTAAGATATGCCAAATAAATGATGTGTTGAGAACATTTCTATCGGCTGATCTAAGGCCAGTCTGTGGCAGCTTGACCAGATTTCACAGTAAACAAAATGAGTTGAGAGGACAGCAGGAAGTTTCCAAGTGTTTACTGCCTTTTACACAAATACATGAGACCACAGGTATCGCTGTACATTCACTTCATCTACAAGCTGCACCAGCATGAAACATCAGCCCACAAAACATTTAGCCCCTCTGATTACACCTTAATCGCTATTTACTGGCGTCTTTCTTTTTAATACTTTACACCTTGGTCGCAGTTACGGACTTACTAAGAAGGCACAGTAGGCAGAATGAGTGTTGCCATGTTGTTGAACTTACATACATCATTCTGGTCAGGGCGCTGGATTGGAAATGGGCAAAGGTTTGATTGATCATCCACCTATTGGTTAGCGTGAAGTCATGGTGACGTATCATTGCATAAACTGAGAGGTTCTTTAATTAGACCCTCAGCTGATTGAATCCACAAACATTTTGTTTTGACGGACTAAACAGAACCTCTCACCTTGCAGTACCCGCTTTGTGCTAAACTTGTTCCTCTTTGTCAGGTATCAATATATGAACACAGATGTTCACATCCAGCTGCAGCAGCTGTCACAGCCACAAAAACAGACGCAGAACCCGACTTCAGAGGAAACAAACATCTCACAGCCAGGTGTGACATGTCAGAACTGTACGAGCTCCTGGGATTTAATCCCCTTGACAGTCAGAGAATCAATAACAGGTTTCTCTAGAAGCTCTGAGCATCTCCAGTGGAGCCCAGAAGCCCTGCAGCAGGTTTGTAAGGCGCGTCACGTTACAAAGAAGCATCAGTGAATCCGTCACAAACTGTAAAAACAGGAAGAATAGAAAGAAATGTCCTTGAACTACTCCTCTGTGACACGTATTTACCAAACCAAAGCTTGAAATTGTAATATTTCATCAAAATCCCTTTAATTCATATGTCCCGCGTTTTTAAAAAATGCTCAAAATTAACTGTTTGCTCTGAATAGATTCTGTAAAAAAATAAAGTTCTTCACTCCTCAGTGGACTGTGAAGTCAATAATTACTCAGCTGCAACCAGGGTCAGGTGACACAGATTCAGGCCAGTGGGCAGTTGGTTTTCAATTCATTAAAAATAAGTGATTAAGAAATGTACCTTCTGTTATTTCCAGGTTTATATGTGTTTGGCATAATAACCGTGTCCTACTGCACACAGGGCCTTTCTGAGCTCTGTCTAGCTGTAGTTGTGGTCGTGCTGTTTCCACAGAGCTGCAGGACTTCATACTGAAGTGGAAAATGAGCAAACAGTGAAGAAACATGTGACAGCAGCAACACAACCCCCAGAAGCTGCTCCAGGTGTCGAGGCTTCAAGTCCACAGAGTCCTGTGACCGTTATGGAATGACGAGTCTCCAACGGAGCTTGACTGAGACATAAAACCACACATTGTGTCTGATGGTGTTCTGATGGATCAGCAGCATGTATCAGCACCACAGCTCTGAACACGGACCTTCAACAGGGTCTGAACCCCCACAAGATGCTGGTTTTGTCTCTGGTCACTTTAGCACGTGTACATAGGAAAGACTTCATGGCCTCAAACATTCAGTGTGGTCCTAGAAAGCTAACTCCAGGAATGTGTTGAACTTCATCGTCTGGGAATGTGTGTTGGGTCTCTGGCTGCAGGGAAAGTGGAGCCTGACAAAGTATCTTCAGCTCCTACAAACCTGCAGCATCTCTGGAATGCACAGGAAGTCGTGTCTTCTGTCTCTCCCTGCTGTCCACCTTCCAATAAGGCACAAACATCATGACCTCAGTCAGGAAGTCAAATGAAGGCAGAGGATCGATTGGCCTTCCTATGAAATGAAAAACCTCCCGGTGGGTTGACGACAGCCTCGTCCTGCCGGCTGAAGCGCCGCTCAGCATCCACCCATCTGTGATGTGAACCAGAAGGCCGCTTGGAGGCAGCAGCTCCCCGAGGAACGGGCTCTGGTGAGGCTTCATTCGTGGTTGGACTTCCACTTGTCGTCTTCATACAGAAGAGGCTGAGGACAAAAAGTGCAGAAGCTTTGATCAGCGGTGGGGAACATCAGAGGGTTTAAGATCAGTTTGTGCAGCAGCTTTTCATCAAGCTTCTATTCTGACCCGGCAAGGAACTGCTTTCCTCTTTTGTTGACGTCAACCTTCAGCTCATTCCATTTTGGACAAAGACGAGAGCTGGCAAAGAGACTCCTGGGGCCGGTTCTTCTCTCAAAAATCCTGAGATCAACCGGCGGATCCAGGATCTAAAAATCCAGGTTTCACTAATCTGGAGTGTTCAGTTCTTCTCTGTTCTCAAAGTGTATTCTGGCGCTGACTCTATGTCGTTACTTCCTATTGTATGATGTCGTGGTCCACACACTTCCAAATGGGATTGATCAGGTGCAGTTTAAACAACTGAACGCTGTATATTCACAAATCCCAGTGGCATCCAAACCAGTGAAATCAATGAATGAAAAGGCCCTTAATGCTGACCACTGTGATTTATAAAGGTCTGCTGCTGTGACAGCGGTGCTGTGTTGTGTCACCTTGCTCTCCAGCACTCGGCTGTGCGTGGGGCTGCCCAGCTCCTCCAGAGTTTCTGCTGCGGGTGTGTTGAGGGTTTCGGGCAGCAGGAGGCCCAGACAGCCTGCAGACAGGCCGCTCAGACAGAACACGGTGAAGGGCATGGAGCTGTGGAGCGCCCGCTGCAACAGGAACACACGACTGATGGCTGATGCTCGTCATCAAACCTCCACTTATCTCACATTTTACTCAGACGTTCAGACTTCACCACCTCCCTGAACCCTAAAACGTGTTTAAAAAGCATCTTATCCTCGTTACACAACAAAAGAAACCTTTTATTGGAGACAAGAACTGTAACAGGAAGAATTATGGGATTTTAAACTTTCAGTCCATGAAGCCGAACCAAATCCAAGCTTCAAACTGCATCCAAATAACTTTATTCTATAATCTACTGTAGAATCTGCCGAAAGTCGAGCGCTCTGTGGCACGACTGAGACCACGAGTGACTCGGTTCTGGTGAGGAAACGTCTTCAGCTGAACTGTGAATAATACAAGTATGGAATAAATGCAGCATCACCTTGTTTTCCTGGTACTGGAAACATCTGGCCCACTTGCAAAAAATGCACTTTTCAATGTTTTAAAATGTGTGTAAAATAAATAGTGAAAGAAATCCAGCTGTGACATTTTGCACAAAGGCCTTTCTGACTGACTTCTGAGCTGCTTCCAGTCGTGGTGGTTCTGTTTCCACAGACGGGCAGAACTCATACTGAAGTGAAAAATGAGCAGGAAACATTAAAAACCTACTTGAGGTTTACAGGGTGAACAACTAACCATCCTTTGTTCGCACTACAATGTCAGATGTCTTTATTCTAGCACAGCCAAACTATCTCCAGCGGCATGAGAAGAAACGAATGTTCTCAACACGGACATCAGAACATCTGAGCAACTCTTCTGTACAGACGACAAAATATCATCAGAAAGTCCTGCCTGAAACCACAAATGCATACAAATAAATGAGTTCTTTTTCTTGAAGGAAAGTATCTGACTGGAAATCAGTCCAGTAGAGTTCGGTTCATCAAATGAAGTAAGAACAACATGCACGAGCAGAAAGCGCTGTGTGGGGATGAAGCTGTTCAGCAGGGCAGCATGAAGGCATCGTTGGGACAGGAAATACCAACACACCATCAAAACACACAGAACACTCTACGGAAAGCTAGAAGATCAGACTAAAGTGAATAAACACAAAAACAGACATGATTTTAAGGTTGAGTACCATTTGACTTTAAAAAATGACTGAACCCTAAGCTTAAAGAAAACCCGAAGCTTAAAGAGAACCCGAAGCTTAAAGAGAACCCGAAGCTTAAAGAGAACCCGAAGCTTAAAGCCAACCCGAAGCTTAAAGACAACCTTAAGCTTAAAGACAACCCTAACCCTGTTACAGGAGAAACATGCAGCAAATTTAAAAGGTAAAAGCAAAGTTAACTCCAGCAAACTTTCATTTAATACCAATTCAATATGAAGATGATCTGAGAGCCTATTAACTACATAAACAAAGACTGAAATAGTTGTTTAAGTGTTGAAGTTACCCAAACCACCACTAGGGGTCACTACAAGTACAGGTTTGAGTTCACCCTGCTGCTCACCTGGCTGGACTGAGGTCAAAGGTCACAGAGTTCAGTTTAGGCCAGGGTTAGGGTTGAATGGTGGGCTTGTACCTGTGATCTTACTGCTGTGTTCTTATATTAGAAGTATTCTGCACATTACAATTACTTTAAGGGCTTTTAAACCTCACTCATTTTTCAGCTGTTCAACCACGTCCACGATGTACATGCTGGATGTGTGGCTTGAACCTCAAGCAGTTTGTGGGCGTTTTTTCTGCTCCAGTCACAGTTTAACTCGCTGAGGCTCATCACTCACCCATGATAACATCCTGCACCTCTATGGACACAGAAGAACCACGAAGGAGGAGGCAGAAAACATCTTCAGTGTGGTTTAAGACGGATATGAAGCCCTAACCGTAACCCTAAAGCCTTACCGCTAACCCTAACCCCAACTGGCTACGAGGCTGGATTAACCCTAACCCTAACCCATATCGAGACAGATCTCTAAAAATCTATCCCCCACGAGGCCAGCTAACCTTAACCCTAACCCCAAGCCCCACGAGGCCGGCAAACCCTAACCGTAACCCTAAGCCCCACAAGGCCGGCAAACCCTAACCCTAACCCCAAGCCCCATGAGGCCGGTTAACCCGAACCCTAAACCTAACCGGCTACGAGGCCGGCTAACCCTACCCCTAACCCCCACGAGGCCGGCCAACCTTAACCCTAACCCTAACCGGCTACGAGGCCGGCTAAACCTAACCCTAAGCCCCATGAGGCCAGCTACCCCTAAGCCCCACGAGGCCGGCTACCCCTAAGCCCCACGAGGCCGGCTAACCCTAAGCCCCACGAGGCTGGCTAACCCTAACCATGACCATGGCTACGTGCTGCACTTCCTTGTTGCTGACAACAACATCTCCATGACAACCAGCAAATTCCCCCACGAGGCCGGCTAACCCGAACCAGCTACGAGGCGCGGCTCAAAGGTTTCAGCATGACTCATCTGTTAGAATTTCCACTTCATCACTGTTTGTTGTGCTCCAGTGTCCTGAAACTGCTGAAGACACTGGTGAACGTCCGGGGGTTTCGTCTGGGGAATGTTTCTGTTTTAGACACAGCAGAGTGAACTGTTTGTTTTTTGGGCATTTACCGGTTTGTGAAACATCTTTCAGCTCAAAAACAGCCATGTGGGAAACTTTTCATGAAAGTTTGTCCTTACTGATATGAAAGAGGTCAGAAATCGTTCTGCTATAAATAAATGCGAGCTGCAGGAGGAAGCTGCTGACTGTGGTGGCCTCTTCCAGCTTCTATGTGTGTGAATATAAATACATGTTGGGTTTTTTGTACACTGACAAAAGGCATTTCAGTTTCTCTGTACGTACTGCACATGTATAGATACTGACAGCAGTTCCCTTTGGCTGACTTCCACCTCGCTTCGGTAACCCTGCATAGAAAACATTTCCCCGTGTGGGACGCTCTGTACAAGCAGTTACATGTTGGAAACATACTCATCAATATATGATTATATTCCACGAAATGAAGCCCAGACTTAACGTTGTTTAGTAGCAGCTGCTCCAACAACAGCGTACAAACTCCTGGGCTCCAGTACTTCACATTTACTCACTACAAATCCCTACTGCCATCACCAGTCTTCACTGGTACTTTCACATTCTCTTGTGCTTGATATCAAGAAGCAAACTGGGACCATTAGGAGCAAATCATCTGGATCTAGCAGAGCCAATAATGAGCCGCACTCTGCAGATCTGGTTCCAGTTTGCTTCTGGGCTCAGATTCCACATTAACGGCAGAATGTGTTTCATTTTTCATCAAAGAACAACAACTTGTTGAGGTTTTCCATAGACGGTTTCCCCTCTCCTTTACTGTGCTGTACAGTTGCTTTTTTATCCATCTGCAAACTCACAAAGCCCAGAGTCCACGTCGTCGGAGTTCTCTCCCACAATAAACACTGCTTCTCGTGCCAGGTTCACCCTGCAGGAGTCCTGGCCTGATTCACCCCCGATTCACCCCAGCAGTCAGGGTT